ATCAAAACAATAAATACTTGATGCCCTTCTGTTCATACGAACTTCAGTTACTGGCTCGATTTACTAATTTTCATCTTATAATACCCACTTTTTGATGTCAACATGTCTATTTGCTCGTTGAGGGGATGAACGGTCGAAGTTGATGTGAAACAATTACGCAAGATTTTAATCGCTTATTACTTCGAGACTAATAATGCGCCAACCTACTAGTAAATAATTTGTTGTTACGAAAGTCACGGCTCTCATGGCATATGTAGGCACGCGTTCGAGCGCACACGCGTGATAGCGACGGAATAGATTTGGGCACCAATTCACATTAGTGTAGCGTAGAAATAGTACAGCAGGATCTGATTCTATAAAGCAATCTAAGAATTCTGCACTGAAATTAACGAGAAACAATGAAAACAACCACCAGGCAAAAGAGAACATTTATATTCATTTTTAAAATATTAAAATAATTCACGATCTTGTCTCATATGAATATGAAATGGGCTCATAATTACACAAAAACTCCAGTCAGAAGGAATTTCCCATTAAAAGGTCTGCAATAAGCTCAAAAAGCCCAGGAAAGCAAACCTTCGGTCGCATTGGCGGCGAGCACGCCAGGAGGATAAGAACGATTGACTCCCACGGTCTACTTTTCCTAAGTCTTTTACCTGCCTCCGAAACGGATAGTCTGATTACAACCCGTTCGGTTTCCACCGTGAAGGAGATCTCTCATAGGTATCAGTTCTTCCAAGATCGATCTTCACACAAACGGTGTTTATTTTGTCTCAAATTTTACTGGTGTTCTCGTATTCTACAGATCAAATAGAAAGAGCAATGAAAGTTTGTTAATTAGAAATTAAAGTGAATTAGACATTCTTAATTTATTCACACTGATTGTAGGAGGAGGGCTACGGGGATCATGATCTTCGCTTAAGAGTAATTCTTTTAATTGTGTATATTTAATTTATATGGGTATTTATGAATTATATTTTAATTAATTTTCATAATTTAACTCCGTAATTATTATATTCAATTGTAATACATTTTATTACATTTATAACATATTAAATTATGTATTTCGATTATATTATTATATAATAAATAATTAATTGTATTTAATTATTAATAAATATAATAATTATTTTTTAGATGTTAATAATATAATCAACTATAATTATTATATTTGAAATAATGTTAGATGATTCTACCTCGTTCACCTGTGTTCGACTTTTTTTCGTTAGGAAAATTCCTATTGTGAATACTGATTCAGAAAAAAATAATATATCTTGTTCTAATATGTAGTAAATTATTCCCTCATATTACGTTACATAGACACATTTTACGAATAGTGAATACTTGTTTCGATTTGTGCGAGCACATCTAACTGCGTTTACTCATGAATGGAAATTTAACTAAATAGTTTCCTCTTTCCCTCTCCAGGACATCTGTTGGAATGTAATTGGGCTATGCTTTCTAAGGTAACCAAAAGTAAAAGGAAAAAGGTTATCTTAGAAGCAGGTATGAGTGAAACCTGGCAGCTGGATATATTCGAGTGATTCCGCAACTGCGACCGGACCAACGCCTCCCAGTTGTCTATTTATCACTTCTGACAGCAAAATGTGGCGTCGCCGACGCTGTAAACTGTTTTAAAAAGAGTTTCAGGAGTTGAAAATTTCTTTCATGCTCAGATTTGTTGAAATGCGAGTAGTATGTTCTTTGTATGATGTATGATTGTAGTATGTTCTTTAAGTATCTGACATTGGACTTACCAATGAATCGTAGTAGCTGATAATGTTATACTCCCGTTTAAAAGTTCCCAACACCCAATGGCTTTGTATCTAACCTCCTACTGGTCATATTGCAATTTCAAAATTATAATCGCCGTAACAAATACTTGCAGGCTTTGATGCTAATAGTTAAATTTTAGTACAGCTGCATTTTTACGCTTTTTTGCTAATATGCACTTAATATAGTTACAGTTCAGTTGCATCTTGAGTAGTGAGTCACGCAGGACCTATGTTACAAATTGCCCATAATGTCACTCACAGGGTTTTACCAAGTTGAAATTGGTTCGTAACTTTGAGAGAGTTCAAAAGCGTTCTTGACTCAATTACCGTGTGACTTGAAGGCGCTGTTACCTTCAAGTTTCGTTAACATTGTAACACACAACAGAGCACGTGTTTAACATAGTCAGATGCCTGACAGTAATGACAATTTGCAATCTTTACTGAACATGTATTTACATTATGCAACTGGAAGAAGATGGGTACTTCTTATTTGATATTACCAATTTGTTATACACAAATCACATTAATTAATAGATAATAATAATCATTCTCTTAAACTTGAAATAAATAGATTGGTTTAACAAGGTTATATCAATGTTTTATCTTGCTAATTTACATTTTTGGATTCATGAATGGAAATGTTTTATTTGAAAAGAATTGTAATATATTGCATTGTGCAACATAAATAATTAAATTGTGAAAAAATATCTCCGATCTATTTGCTTTGTTATTATTAACAATAACACCCCAGTCCTGTGTATTCAATGGTAAACAAGTGGTGCCGCAACAGCACATGTTTCCTGACATTTCTAAATTTTCGAACATTCAGAGAGTTCACCGAAAATTAGACCTGCTACATCCTTTTAAGTGTCCCGTTTTTGAGTCCAGAACGACTTGTTCAACAAATGAACATGGCTTTTCTTAAAGAGATGAAGATATAATTTGAGGAATAAATGTGAAATATTAACTTTTTGCATTTTTTTGAAAAGGCAGAGATCTCCGGAAATGAGACTAGCACCAATTTCTTACCGTTCTTTGATGAATACAAAAGGAAAATTTAAAGACAAATTTGAAGTTGTTTTTGAGAAAATAATTGTTTAAAAAATTAAAAAAATTGCCTATATTTCACACAAACGTTATCGAAAGCTACTCATATTTGCGAAAAACTGTAGATGATTTTATTTCAAGATCGTTATCTAAGCACGTTTTGTACTTGTATTTAGCCATTATGTGTCCCGTAAAGCGCAATTGGCTTCGGTGCCGTTAGATCCGGGGGTTCCTAGTCTGTCACCCAACCAGGAACCCGCGATGTCTCGAATTAGCTTAACCTTCACGTAGTTAACTCATTCGGCGCAGCCGGTTTCGCGGTCGTGGTCTCTCAGTAGCACCATCCCAGCATTTGCCTGGATGACCGAGGGAAACGATTACCACGGGGATTGAACCTGGGCCTCCCGAATGGGAAGTCAGCGCGCTACGCCTTGAGCCTGTTTGCTCGGTATCTAAGAGAGTGCACGACATCATTCAAAGACGTTAAATTGCATTGGCAAATTAATCTTTAGTTTTCATAATACAATAGGAGTGTAGGTCAGGTTCGAAATTAAATGAAAACCTTTGCTAGTTTCATAATTACAGTGATTTTAATGGAAGGCAGCTTTATACAATACTTACAAGTGCATTTCATAAATTTCAGCAAAAAATGTAAAGAAAAAATATGAAGCCATTTTTGAGAAAAAATTGAAAATGAGACTGAGGCTTCATGAAAAATTCACCCATATTAAAATATCTTAATGATCTTCTGCACTGATCAACAACCTCCTCGCCACTTGCAGCAATCTTAGCCATCTTTGAAAGAGCACTAATAGACCGCAATTCTGCCAGGAAACTGCCTGATCTCAGAAGAATCTTTAACGCATTTCTATTGACCAAAAATTCGAAATTGTATTATTAACGATATTCCCACAGTTTTCCTCCCAACACTACTGAATAGAGAGACAAGTCATTAGACGAGACATTATTAAAATTCCTAAAGACTTTAAGAAACCTCAGTGCTTACATCAAATAAACATAGTCGTACACTCGAATCTATAACCCAGTATATCATGTACCGTATCAACCCATTTCTTCTCTAAACAAATGACATCAAATGCACCAAATCTAATCAGATTCAACGTAGGACAGAACCTCATCTACACCACAAGAACAAAAAAATAAGTATCCATTCTACATATTAAAAAAATATTCTACGAAATGAATTCGGATTTCTCAACCGCAAAAGAAGTTGCTAGTATAATTTTAGATTTTGTTTCGTAAATCAACAAACATATGCAGATCTGTGTACTTATCATTGAGGAAAGATAAACTAAAAAAACAACAAAAACCAGGCACTCAAACGTGTCCTGAACAATGTCGAAGGGAAGGTCGCAGAAGTCTTTTTCACAGAATAGAGAGACAGAAGGACATGTCATTTCGAAATCTGCCCTGATTGTTTTCACTCATACGAAATTCATACGTACACTGGCACGCATTGAGGGGGCAAATTATAAATTATAGAAACTTGACAAACATTCAAAATAAATTGAACGAATTGGACACTCCTGTTGGCGAGCGGCGGGGTGGTGAAAGAGGTATGATAAGGATCAATGGCGGGAAAGAAATTATTAGAAGAGGATCCGGAATTCAACCGTATCTTAGCTCAAGGTAGATATTTTTCTCAAAATGGACATCGCAGTCATTTTGGGTACATTTATGTCCATGATGTAGACTGTCCAAAAATATAATAAAAGAAAGAATGAAAAAGGTAAGTCAGAAAAAAATGAAAGAATGAAGAAGAAACAAAAAGTAAAAGAAAGAAATAAAAGAAGGGAAGGGTATTGTGTTTTGATCAACAGTAAAGATCTTTAAAAATACACATCCTACATTAGTTCTGTAATATTAGAACCTGTCCAAAAAAGGAAAAAAATGAAAGAAATAAAAGTAAAGTCAGAAAGAAAATGAAAGAAAGCATAAGAAAGAAAAAGAAAAAACCAAGAAAGGAAAAGAAGGGAAGGGTATTTCGTGGTTTTCACGAAATACACTTCCTACATTAGTTTTGTATATTACATTTACCTTACTTTGGAGAACAAATCTTTATTCGCTATTCAATAAGAAGGTCATCGTGACAGGCAGCGAACCGCAATCGGCGCAATAGTTCTCTGCCTGTCACGATGACAGGTGCTCGGTGCTCACCTCTGCTGGATGCGCAGCAGCGTGTCGAGCGCGTCCTGCAACTGCTTGATCTGCACCTCGAGGTCGGACGCCTCCTTGCGCAGCGCCTCGTAGCGGCCGCGCGCCGACACCGACGCCAGCCGGTCCACCACGATCTCGTTCTTGAGCGGCGGCGGCGGGTTGGCCGTCGCGTCCTGACACACACAACCACACATCTTACCCTTGTCATTCGATATTTCTTGGTTTCGGACGCGGCAACCGGTATGGGCAGTATAGAACATGTACCCCCCATTAGGGATTTCACCACAAGCTTGTAGTGAATGTAAGTGAATGACTACAAAGGGAAGTTTAGGAAGGAAATATCGTGCGCGGTCTATAGTCCGTGTTATGTGAATTGATTGATTGTTTAGTGATTTCGGGCTACTAGAGTTATTAGTCCCGTAAGTGTGCATGTATTTGGCTCGGCAGGTGGTTGTATGGTGAGATCCGGTGACGATCTACCGTCGTCTAGCAGGGTTTTCCTCAACGAGGTATCCTCCACCAGCGGGGCACCACCTTAGCCGGGAGAACCTCTTAGCTCCTGCCGGGTCTCCCAGCATGAGTGGTAGTCTAGTGCATGTTATTGTATGTGTGTGTAAGGGGTGAGGATAAGATAAGGAAGAGGAAGGTGAGATCGCGCGAAGTCCGTGGCCCGGTTGTTAGGGTACTGTTCCAGGATTCGCCTGGTGTCGATCGGCGAAACTACGGAAAACTACCGATCAGAGCAGCCGGCCGCTAGAATTCTCCTCCAGTCAGCGACTAAATTCGACCTACCCAATAAGCAGTGTCGAAAATCCTGCCACCGTCCCACTTGAACCTAGGACCTCCCAGACAGAGGGACTGCAGTGACATCAGTTGATGCCATCTCTCCCAGTGCGGAATTTGAAGGTACCAGTAACAGGACTAATAACCATAGGTATTGACGGGCCCGCAAAATCCGTCCCTGTCGTGACTCGAACCCCAGGTCCTCTCAGTCAGACTTCAACAACTGTTTCTCTGAGATATCGCATCCCGCATCCCTATAATACAGCCAAACCTCTGTTTGCATGTGCGCACATTTTCCTAAAATTCTGATTTGAACGGCTTTTTTGTCGAAATTTTGCCTTCGCGCTTCAATATACGCTCAGTTGTGTACAGATGAAAACTGTCCGAGCCAAACCTGTTCTCCTGACCGCGTACCTTTGCCGCCCATTGCCTGGAACCTACGCGCTCCAGACAGTCTACCTTTGCTTCTCGTAAAGTGACTATCACTCCCCACGCTCATTTGAAATATTTTTATATTATTCGGAGGTTTCTGAGTTTTTGTACCAATTGTGTTTCTAAATAAATTACTTCGAGACCAAAGAAAGTTAAAGAATAAACTTTTTAATGAAGTATAACCTTTTTTTAATGATAATATTTTTTAAAATATACATTTTTCTATTTTTGTATATTCGGTTTTCGCCAGAAATTTCCGAACTGATTATTAAGAAAACGAAGGTTCTGTTGTATTCGCCTTCAATACTGAGTTTGTTTCTCGGATGGAGGCAGGAGACGCGCTAATTTAGCGCCGCGCCAGCAAAAAGAAGAAATCCACAGGAGAAACGCCAGCTTAGACCATGATCTGTCTTCTCAGGGTTAATTTTCTCTAACGAAATTACACGCGCGCATTCGATTGAAATAATCATGGAGACAGAAACGGACACGGGAGGCCTACGGCCGGAAAGCATTACTTCAACCGCTGGAGTGAACTTCAATTTCTTAACAGAGAACGTTTCAGTATTTTGCTATTCGTCATTGTGCTCGAGCACAATTGAATTTTCCTTCAACTCTTTTAATAGTATAAATTTTGAGTTATTCAACTGATACATTTATGTGGTGTATCTACAGCTCATAACTTCCGGATAAGTATAATATAAAATTAACATTTCGAAACATTATGACCTTCGTTCGTCTGTGTAGCCATTTTATTGATTCATTTTATTTTTTGCGCCACTGTGGAAGAAATAGCGGGGCCTCTAACACCCGCGTTTGCTGGTTTCAAACCACCAGGTTCACTTTGTAAAGGTCAAAAATTCTTAGTGCGCCATGTCACGCGTGTGGCGTGCAAAAGAATGCCAACAGCTGCCCGGAATTTCCCACTCTAATTATGTTCTGTAATGGCCTAGACAGGGGGCGATGTAAGAAATGGATAAACACGATAGACCGTTTTTTTACCGGTACCTAGCAGCAATACGCAGGATGAAACTTCTGTGATGAGTCGGCGGCTCCCATGATTCCAATTACATTTTATTTTCTATTCAGACCGGGGACGGTATTCAGATACATCATCAACAACAAAGGAATTCAATTTGAACAACAAACTCACCCCTCACAGAGGAAAAGATCTTAAATCCTCAACATCCCTCTTCTCTTTTTTACTCTTGGCAGTAGCAATTGAGGGTTGAAACGGGGAATACACTCGGGCAACCGATTGATTGCTCGATTGATTATTGTGTGTTCCCGGCCACATCAAATGCTATGGTCATTATTCCCATAAGTGTAGTGAATATTACATCTCAGAATGTGACGATGTTTCTTTCCCGCTAGAATGTGATATACGACGCCGACCTACAAGTTGACTTGTAGCCTCAGCAGTCAGTTGGCGATATGTATCTTTCAGCCAAACTTATCTGGATGTAATTTGTTACGTTCCAATGGCGATTTTCCAATGGACATAAGATAGGACTACATTTTACTGGTCATTAGTATTTCCGAGTGATGGGGGGGGGGAGTAAAATGTATTCATCTTTAGTATTGCAGTGTTTATGAAGAAGTATCTGTTAGTATCTTTGGAATCAATAATTTTCGGGGTACCAAACAAATTGGAAAATATCTAACTCGGAAGAGGAGGAGGGAAGTAGATGAGTTCCTCACCACAAATGAAAGAGAGGTACAGTACATTAGTATTTCCGGGTGATGGGGGAGTAAAATGTATTGCTGAGTCTGAAGAAGTATCTGTTAGTATCTTTGGAATCAATCATTTTCGGGGTACCAAAAAATCTAGAAAATGTCTAACTCAGAAGAGGAGGGAAGTAGATGAGTTCCTCACCAAAAATGAAAGACAAGCACAGTACATTAGTATTTCCGGGTGATGGGGGGAGTAAAATGTATTGCAGAGTGTTTCTGAAGTAGTATCTGTTAGTATCTTTGGAACTAATCATTTTCGGGGTACCAAAAAATTTGGAAAATATCTAACTCAGAAGAGGAGGGAAGTAGATCAGTTCCTCTCCAAAAATGAAAGAGAGGCACAGTGCATTAGTATTTCCGGGTGATGGGGGAGTAAAATGTATTGCTGAGTCTGAAGAAGTATCTGTTAGTCTCTTTGGAATCAATAATTTTCGGGATACCAAACAAATTGGAAAATAAATAACTCAGAAGAGGAGGGAAGTAGATGAGTTCCTCACCAAAAATGAGAGAGAGGCACAATACCGCTTAATGCCCTCGCAAGGAGCCTATATGTAGGGATGGAAGCCGCGGGCGCGCACTCACGTTGTGGTGGTGGTGGGCGGCGGCGGCGGCCGCGGGGGCGTCGGGCGCGTCGGGGCCGTCGAGCGGCTCGGGCGGGGGCGGCGGCTGCGGCGGCGCGAAGTTGTGGCGCAGCGCGGGGCGCAGCGGCGCCTGTGGCGGC